CAGAAAAATTTTGCGAAAAAAATTTTGGGAAAAAAATTTTTGGTCAAAAAATTTTTGGTCAAAAAAAATTTGGTCAAAAAAATTTTGGTCAAAAAAATTTTGGTCAAAAAATTTTTTTTTATTAGACCGATATTGACCAATATTGGACCGATAATTACCAATATTAGACCGATATTGACCAATATTAGACCGATATTGACCAATATTGGACCGATGTTGACCAATATTGGACCGATATTGACCAATATTAGACCGATATTAGACCGATATTGACCAATATTAGACCGATATTGACCAATATTGGACCGATGTTGACCAATATTGGACCGATATTGAGTCAAAAAATTTTTGGTCAAACAAATTTTGGTCAAAAAAATTTTGGTCAAAAAAAATTTTGGTCAAATAAATTTTAGGACAAAAAAATTTTTGGTCAAAAAAATTTTGGAAAAAAATATTTTGGTAAAAAAAAATTTTGAAAAAAAAAATTTGCCCAAAAAAATTTGTTAAAAAAATTTTGGGAGAAAATTTTTGGTCAAAAAATTTTGGTCAAAAAAATTTTTGGTCAGAAAAATTTTGCGAAAAAAATTTTGGGAAAAAAATTTTTGGTCAAAAAATTTTTGGTCAAAAAAAATTTGGTCAAAAAAATTTTGGTCAAAAAATTTTTTTTTATTAGACCGATATTGACCAATATTGGACCGATAATTACCAATATTAGACCGATATTGACCAATATTAGACCGATATTGACCAATATTGGACCGATGTTGACCAATATTGGACCGATATTGACCAATATTAGACCGATATTGACCAATATTGGACCGATATTGACCAATATTAGACCGATATTGACCAATATTAGACCGATATTGACCAATATTAGACCGATATTGACCAATATTAGACCGATATTGACCAATATTAGACCGATATTGACCAAAGACCAAAAGTTGGCCCAAAAAATTTTTGGTCAAAAAAATTTTGAAAAAAAAAATTTTGAAAAAAAAAATTTGGAAAAAAAAAATTGTCCAAAAAATTTGGGAAAAAATTTTTGAGAAAAAATTTTGGAAAAAAAAATTTTGGTCAAAAAAATTTTGAAAAAAAAAAATTGTCCAAAAAAACTTGTTAAAAAAATTTTGGGAAAAACTTTTTGGTCAAAAAAATATTGACCAATATTAGACCGATATTAACCAATATTGGACCGATATTGACCAATATTAGACCGATATTGACCAATATTAGACCGATATTGACCAATATTAGACCGATATTGACCAAAGACCAAAAGTTGGCCCAAAAAATTTTTGGTCAAAAAAATTTTGAAAAAAAAAATTTTGGAAAAAAAAATTTGGAAAAAAAAATTGTCCAAAAAATTTGGGAAAAAATTTTTGAGAAAAAATTTTGGAAAAAAAAATTTTGGTCAAAAAAATTTTGAAAAAAAAAAATTGTCCAAAAAAACTTGTTAAAAAAATTTTGGGAAAAAATTTTTGGTCAAAAAAATTTTTCGTCAAAAAAATTTTTCGTCAAAAAAATTTTTTGTCAAAAAAATTTTTCGTCAAAAAAATTTTAGAAAAAAAAATTTTGGCCAAAAAAATTTTTGGTCAGAAAAATTTGGGAAAAAATTTTGCCAAAAAAAAAAACTTTTGGTCAAAAAAATTTGGACCGATATTGACCAATATTAGACCGATATAGACCAATATTGGACCGATATTGACCAAAGACCAAATTGGCCCAAAAATTTTTGGTCAAAAAAATTTTGAAAAAAAAAATTTGGAAAAAAAAATTTGGAAAAAAAAATTGGCCAAAAAATTTGGGAAAAAAATTTTTGAGAAAAAATTTTGGAAAAAAAATTTTGGTCAAAAAAATTTTGAAAAAAAAAATTGCCCAAAAAATTGTTAAAAAAATTTTGGGAAAAAATTTTTGAGAAAAAATTTTGGAAAAAAATTTTGGTCAAAAATTTTGAAAAAAAAAAATGCCCAAAAAAACTTGTTAAAAAAATTTTGGGAAAAAATTTTTGTCAAAAAAATTTTTTGTCAAAAAAATTTTTCGTCAAAAAAATTTTTCGTCAAAAAAATTTTAGAAAAAAAAATTTTGGCCAAAAAAATTTTTGGTCAGAAAAATTTTGGGAAAAAAATTTTGCCCAAAAAAACTTTTGGTCAAAAAAATTTGGACCGATATTGACCAATATTAGACCGATATAGACCAATATTGGACCGATATTGACCAAAGACCAAAAGTTGGCCCAAAAAATTTTTGGTCAAAAAAATTTTGAAAAAAAAATTTTTGGAAAAAAAAATTTGGAAAAAAAAAATTGGCCAAAAAATTTGGGAAAAAATTTTTGAGAAAAAATTTTGGAAAAAAAAATTTTGGTCAAAAAAATTTTGAAAAAAAAATTGCCCAAAAAAACTTGTTAAAAAAATTTTGGGAAAAAATTTTTGAGAAAAAATTTTGGAAAAAAAAATTTTGGTCAAAAAAATTTTGAAAAAAAAAAATGCCCAAAAAAACTTGTTAAAAAAATTTTGGGAAAAAATTTTTGGTCAAAAAAATTTTTTGTCAAAAAAATTTTTCGTCAAAAAAATTTTTCGTCAAAAAAATTTTAGAAAAAAAAATTTTGGCCAAAAAAATTTTTGGTCAGAAAAATTTTGGGAAAAAAATTTTGCCCAAAAAAACTTGTTAAAAAAATTTTGGGAAAAAATTTTTGGTCAAAAAAATTTTTTTATATTAGACCGATATAGACCAATATTGGACCGATATTGACCAATATTGGACCGATATTGACCAATATTAGACCGATATTGACCAATATTGGACCGATATTGACCAATATTAGACCGATATTGACCAATATTGGACCGATATTGACCAATATTGAGTCAAAAAATTTAGGCCCAAAAAATTTTGGGAAAAAAAAAATTTTAGGCAAAAAAATTTTGGTCAAAAAATTTTTGGTCAAAAAATTTTGGTCAAAAAAATATTAGACCGATATTTGTTAAAAAAATTTGTTAAAAAAAAATTTGGGAAAAAATTTTTGGGAAAAAATTTTTGGGAAAAAATTTTTGGTCAAAAAAAATTTGGTCAAAAAAATTTTTTTTTATTAGACCGATATTGAGCAATATTGGACCGATATTGACCAATATTGGACCGATATTGACCAATATTAGACCGATATTGACCAATATTGGACCGATGTTGACCAATATTAGACCGATATTGACCAATATTGGACCGATATTGAGTCAAAAAATTTAGGCCCAAAAAATTTTGGGAAAAAAAATTTTAGGCAAAAAAATTTTGGTCAAAAAATTTTTGGTCAAAAAATTTTGGTCAAAAAAATTTATGGCCAAAAAAATTTTTAGTCAAAAAAATTTTGGTCCAAAAATTTTTAGGAAAAAAATTTTGGTCAAAAAAATTTTGGTCACAAAAATTTTGGAAAAAAAATTTTGGTCCAAAAAATATTGGAAAATAAATTTTTGGTCAAAAAAATTTTGGTCCAAAAAATTTTGGTCAAAAAAATTCTTAGTCAAAAAATTTTTAGTCAAAAAAATTTTAGTCAAAAAAATTTTAGTCAAAAAAATTTTGATCCAAAAAATTTTGGGAAAAAAAAAATTTTGGAAAAAACAATTTTCCTCAAAAAAATTTATGTTCAAAAAATTTTGGAAAAAAAAATTTAGCCTAAAAAAAATTGTTAAAAAAATTTTGGGAAAAAATTTTTGGGAAAAAATTTTTGGTCAAAAAAAATGTTGGTCAAAAAAAATTTGGTCAAAAAAATTTTTTTTATATTAGACCGATATTGACCAATATTGGACCAATATTTTACCGATATTGACCAATATTGGACCGATATTGACCAATATTAGACCGATATTGACCAATATTGGACCGATATTGACCAATATTGGACCGATATTGGCCAATATTCGGAAAAAAAAATTTGTCAAAAAAAATTTTCGTCAAAAAAATTTTTCGTCAAAAAAAATTTGGTCAAAAGAATTTTGGTTAAAAAAATTTTGGTCAAAAAAATTTTGGTCAAATAAAATTTGTTAAAAAAATTTTGGGAAAAAATTTTTGGGAAAAAATTTTTGGGAAAAATTTTTGGGAAAAAAATTTTTAGGAAAAAAAATTTTTTGGAAAAAAAATATTTTGAAAAAAAAATTGGGAAAAGAAATGTTTGGAAAAAACGTTTGGAAAAAAAATTTTGTAAAATAAATTGGAAAAAAAATTTTTTGGAAAAAAAAATTAGAAAAAAAAATTTTTTGGAAAAAAAATTTGGTAAAAATCCATGGACTATGGCCTTTGATTTTTTGGGGGAAAAATTTTGAAGAAAAAAATTTTGTGAAAAAAAATTCTGGAAAAAAAAATTTGGAAAAAAAAAATTTGAGGAAAAAAGTTTTTTGGAAAAAAATTTTGGGGAAAACCAACGAACACGATCGTTAATCACTCGCTTTCACACACAAGCTTCTAAATCGGGATCAGAATCGAGAAAGCGAGCGCTAGGGGGCCACTTGGGTACAGTACCCCCTTTTGGGGGTGCCCCTTTTTGTGAAATTATTACTTACCACGATGATCCAGGTAGAAAATGTTTTGTTATATAATATTTTTTGAAAGCTAACATTTTTTTTACAAAGCCAAAATGACATGGAAAAGAGAATTGTGACAAGATTTCATTTTTATTGTGTCAGAAAACAGTTATAAAATAAAATTGTACATATTAAATTATATTAAATATATATATATATATATATATATATATATATATATACAAAGGAAGACATCGATTAACACTATAATTATACAATCTTAATTATTCACGAGCATGTATATATATATATATATATATATATATATATATATATATAAACAAAAATTTATTACTATAAAATAACAATCTGATTCACCGATTGTAATAAATAACAATTGTTTAATTTCTCAGAATTTTTTTTTTTTCAAGTTGTCTCAAAAACCCATTTTATTTTTAACAATTCTACTGATGAAATGAATTAATTGTTTAGTTAAATAAATAATGATATTGGATCAGAGACATGGATACTTAAGAGAAAGATTCAGTAAAACCACCGACCACTTGATCTTTGTTGTGTTTCCATATAACGCGCTACAAATTAGCTTGATAATAATAAGTTTGGCCTCGTTATAGTAGGGTTCAATTTAAATCTTTTACTGAGATATCAAAATAATTGTTCCAAGATAAAAGATGACCCCTTCAAAACTTTAAATAACTTATATAATTCATTACAACTGGTAAGTTTAATTTCTTATCCTACCTTATACAAGAGTATTTTTTAACTAATTACAATTTATGTGTATGTTTATTAATAAAATATTTACAGTTGTATTTAAAGAACTATAATTATACGAACTATTTCTTTTATTGCTAATCATTCTTTTGCAGTAAATTTATTCTTACCGTGAGCAATATGTTTTATATTATTTCTGTCGTGATTCTGAATGTATATTATTTGCGAATTAGTTCTTGATCCAGTATTAATTACAAACTTATATTTGTTGATATGCTGACATATTTTTAGGCATGTGGTGAATATGATTTGTAGGAATGTGCAGATCTTTTATGCCTCACAGTGCAGAACAACAGCATCGATGATATCAAACCGAATAACTAAAATGGAAAATGGAGTTAATAATCAGTCAATTTATTACTAATGTGATAATCCAATTTATGATATGATAATAATGCTATGATAATATTAATAATGATAATAACCTGCACAAATGCTATGAGCAATCCAACTACACCGACAACATGTAACCTTTTCACCAGCCACAATCGTAGTCCTTCAGCACAACCTTGACCGTACCATAATACTGGATTGTGAGTCTGTCCACAGTGATGTTGCTAGATAAATAAAATATGTATAGTAAATCATTAAATAAACCTACTAATGAATTATTCTATCTACCTGTTGATTTTGGCTGTGAGCACTGGTAGCTGTAGTTCGGTCACTTAGACTTGGTCCTAAAACTGGTTCGGGCAAAGGCATGCAGCAGGAAGCTGGAACCCAACGCTCACCTATATTGAAGGAAGAACGTGGAATTATTACTGAGGTCCTATGGAGTAAGTTATAGTAATCGAAAATGCATTTTTGTATATTTTTACGTTTCAAAGGGTTCTAAACATTTTGGACACCTTAGAAAAAATCATTAGATATATGCATATCGAACTATCAAATTTTACTAACATAAGTATGAATTGTGTTTCCGTTTTTGGGGTTTCAAATCAATGTTCACAACGCTTGAATTTCGCATATATAATTTAAACAAATTTCATCGATATTTTTGACACTATGAATGAACCGACTGATTTGGTTTAAAAAAGTCGTTTTTTTAAAATAGAGACTCAAACACAAAAAATTCTCTTACCTGGCCAAGCTGAAATATCGTACCAATCTTCGTATGTGGTGACACCACAGCATTGAAACTGCAAATAAAATATTAATTAAATATTAATTGATACAAATTTAATATATATTTAATATTCAGTTAATTCATTCGACTAAGGCACAACTCGAAAGGTTTTAGTTGAAAACTGGTCCCCCATTGCGAGAATTGTCGATTTCGTCAGATTGCTATAAAATAAAAACTAGTAGTCGGAGGGGTCTAAAAATTCAGTGGCAATTTATTAAATATTGGTCAATATCGGTAGATATCGGTCAATATTGGTTAATATCGGCCAATATCGGTCAATATCGGCCAATATCGGCCAATATCGGTCAATATCGATCAATATTGGTCTACATCGGTAAATATCGGTCAATATCGGCCAACATTGACCAATATTAGTCTACATCGGTAAATATCGGTCAATATTAGCCAATATTGCTCAATATCGGCCAATATCGGTCAATATCGGTCAATATCGGTCAATATCGGTAGATATCGGTCAATATTGGTTAATACCGGTCAATATCGGTCAATATCGGTCAATATCGGCCAATATTGGCCAATATTAGTCTACATCGGTAAATATCGGTCAATATCGGCCAATACTGGTCAATATCGGTAAATATCTGTGAATATTGGTCAAAGTTCGAGAATATTAAAAATTCGCGCGTCTAGATTAGAATACCCCTCGAGAATTAGAAAGTATTTTACCTCGGTATGAATTTTATCCCAGACATCAGCTAAGTCAGAAGTAGTATTATAATGATCCCTGATAGAGTCCCTTAACTCGCTCGCCAATCTGGCTCCAATATCGTGTCTGTAGACAAAGGCTAAAGAACCGACCAGGAATTCACTCAGGAACAGCACTATCACCAGGCTGAAATACTGAGAGAGGTAGACATAAATATTGTGAATTAGGTGCTAAAAGTTCTACTTCATGGGTCGTTTTCCTTACCGTGACCAGCATACACTTGTTCTGGAACCAAGCCCCGCAGCATCCGAAGAAGGCCACCGTCAGCGTGAGGACTCCGACAGCCATCAAGGGAACATCGGCTGCTGCTCCAGCGTGCTGCGGAAGAAGAGTCGCAGGGCCGCTGTGTTTGGCGGCTCCATCTGCCCAGATTGCGCCTCGCCAGCGCAGCCAGGCGCCGGCCGCCAGGGCAGCACCTCCGGTTAACTAAAAGATGATAATCAGATGATAAATCAAAGTAGTAGAACTTGAAGATTATTATAACAGAGGTAAGTAGTAACAGAGTAGTAACTGCCCAAATTGTACTATTATATAATATAAGGTGACCGTACGTCCCGGTTTGGTTTGTGGCAAATCCGGGACAGTCCAGTATTTGCATCTTGTGTCCCGGGTTTACTAAATGCAATATTTGTCCCGGATTTAGATCTTTTGTCTCGGATTGTACCGGTTTTCCGAAAATGTATAGGCAAATTACCAAAAACTATGAAAACAAACAAACAAACAAGTGCTATTTTTTAAATTAATTATGAAGAAAGTGGAATAAAATTTTATACAAGGCTCAAAAGCAAAAAGTATAAGATCGAATAATATAAGATATAATATCGTAGATAAAAAAGTATTATATATAATTGAAATATAAAGTTCTTACTAAAAGTCCGCAATAATGATTTAAAAAAAAATATGCCAGACATTTGTCATTTTAAAGACCTTTATAACTGAAAATTGCCGTCCCGGTATAGTCCCGGTTTTAACTTAAAAAATATGGTCACCTTATATAATATCGGTTTGCGCTATTATTATCGACTAATTTTAAATTTTGTATATCTTATTAAATACCTGTGCGGTGATTTATAGTAATCGTCCAAAAATCAAATTTGAAAATTTTTGCATATCTTAACTTTTCAGCTGTTTCTGAACATTTTGGCATATCTTAGAAAAAGAGGATGTATGCGTGGGTGTGTGTGCGGATACAAATTTTTATCAACGATTTCCAGAATACGGATCAACCGATTTGAATGATTCAAAAAACATTTGATCGCTATTGACAAGGAGACCCACAAATGTAAACTTTATACTCATTATTGAAATTTCTATAAAACCTTTGATAATTTGATATGCATATGTCTAACGATCATTTTTGACTCCGAAATGGCATTTTTTTACAATTTTTATTCAATCTCCGCAACCGATAGACCTGCCTCTCCAAAAATTTAGTTATTTCATCATTTTGTCAATACCAGTAAAATATTTTTTGAATTATTAAAATCGGACGCTTCGTTCTCTCAATAACTGATATACCATTTTTGGCACTTTTTGCTACGTATTTTCGAAACGGCTAGACCTGCCTTCTGCAAAAACTAATCAGCACGTCTTCTTATCAATAGGAATCGAATATTTTTTGAATCATTCAAATTGGTTGATTCGTGTTCTCAATTCTATTTGCTGGGCGATCAGGCGTATTTTACATATAAACAAAGCAAGGAATAATCTTATAACTGCACCATCTAGAATTCTGTTATCATAACATTCTCCCTTGCTTTGTTTATATGTAAAATACGCCTGATCGCAAAGCAAATAGATAGACATGTTCATAATATACACTGCCAAGAACAACTTGCCATGACAACGCTATTTTATGAGCTCTGTTACGGCAGAATTGCCATATGAATTTATAATAGAAACAATATATATATATATATATATATATATATATTGATATATATATATTTATATATTGTTATAAACGATATATATATATATATCGTTTATAACAATATATAAATAAATGGCTTCAAAGAAAAAAATCACACAAAAGCTATTTCACAATTCAATTTACCTTTAATTTCTCCGTAGAAATTTTACCATTTTCAAACACAAATGGCGAACACTTACATTTGATTTTATTACAATCACCATATATAATTATAATCGAAATACAAATTGCAATCATAATAAAATGTATAGAAAATCATTTTATTTTATAAAAACGTCTGAAAATACAAAATGGTGAAAGGCGATGCAATTTTAAACAAAAGGAAAGTAGATAATGATTAGTTTGATATACATCTGGGACGCTGAATGGGATAATTATATTTAACGATTGTATCGGGAAATAATTGTCTGTGGAAAAAAATAATTGTTGAAGTTTTGCCTATTTGTATTTATAGGAGGGCTGGGCTGGGAGATTGTTGTAAAAGTAATTTTATAACATGAAAGTAAAAATAATGCAATTTTTGGTGAAGACAGTTCTAGCAATTTCAGAGATCCAATAGAAAAAGCAATCTATTTATACTTCTTCTACCTAAGACTAAATCCAAGTATTTCTCCATCAATTTCAAACAAAACACGGAACCGTAAAAAAGCGCAATTTAGGTCAAACCGCGTACCAAAGGTACCTTACGGTTTGCGGCATCTTGCCGGAGTACGTTCAGGAATTCCAGAAAGCGTTACGGACACGAAAAAAGTCATTTGCGTTTTTTTTTATTGACACTTTTTTTATCGGTGCCGATGTCGAAACTCGGGCAACGTCCCATCATCTTGGGCGTGACTCGAATTGTAGAATTCTCGGAAGAAGTTTGGCTTTGTTTACACAATTGGGAGCTTTCTTGGATTACTTTGCCTTTGTTTTAGTATTGTATTTATTTTTCATTTCTGCATTGAAAAAAAAATGAAAACTAGTGGTGTATGTGCCTTAAGGCAAATTGCAAGACCTTTCCGTACTAAAAATTAAAATTAAACTAGTGGTGTGTATGGCCTTGTGCCTAAAGGCAAATTGTTGGACTTCGCGTACCGTAACGAAATGTTGTAACATTGTCTAATATTTATAAGAATTAATTATATAAACTGAATCACAAAATCAAAAATATTTATTTAAAGTATATAAGTGAGCTTTAAAACTTTAACCAGAATTACAATTAAAATCTGAATTATTTTCGATATACAAAAAAAATTGAAATAATTTTTTTTCCAAAAGCAATTGTTTTGTCAACACAAGCAGAAATTTTTTTGAATCAATTCGAATGCTTTATCTCTCAAAAACTGCCATTTTTTGTGTATTTAGCTCTGTCTTTGAAATGGTTGGACCTGTCTTTGCCAAAAACTAATCAGCAGGTCTCCTTATTAATGAGAATCGAATGGTTTTTGAACAAGAGGTGTATGGCATCGTGCATTAAGGCAAATTGCTGAAACTTCCCGTATCAAAAATTAAATTTTCTCAAAAAGATTAAATATGTTTTAAACTTTGAAAAAAATAGATTTTTGAGGAAATTTAAACTTTTGAAAAAAAATTACTTTTTATGAAAAAAAAACTTTCGGAAAAAAATGTTTTTTTAGTTTGAAATATTTTGGAAATTTTGAACTTTTTTTCAAAGCAATCGCACTGCTTTAGCTCATAGAGACTCAATATAGAAGCGCGTAAGCGCCGCGTCGCCGTGTAACAGACAAACGATGTTACGAAACAAAAGAAATATAAACAAAATTGATACACATTATTAAAATCTCCATAAAATATCTGATAATTTGATGTGCATATGTCAAATGATCATTTTTAGTCTCAAGATGTCATTTTTTTTTTACTTTCATTTACTAGATCTCAGAAACCGCTAGACCTGCCTCATCAAAAATTTAATCAGAGTTCATCTTGTCAATACAAGTAAAATGTTTTTTGAATTATTAAAATCGGTTGAACCCGTTTCCGAAATCGATGAAAATTTGTATCCGCACACACACACATACATCCATTTTTTCTAAGGTATGCCAAAACGTTCAAAAACCTCTAAAACGCGAAGATATGCAAAAATTTTTCATTACGATAATTGGCCCATTACTATAAGTACCCCACGGGAAGTTAATTAGTAACAAATAAAGAACAATTTGACTTATAATCTTAGGGGAGAAAATTACAGCAGCGTTTGCATGAGTCCCAAATTTTATCAGCTGATCAATTTATTTGAAATCTAATTATTATTAATTGAATATTAGTCAGACGATTTCATTATTATTTTGTTCCAATGAAGAGATCAACGTCCGGACCAGCAGAGTTAGTAGTAAATATTTATTCTGTTAGCGATAGCCTCGTTTCTCAAACTTTGTTTATAATAAAACCCACTACAACGATTTAGTATTATTTATAAACGACAGATTTATATACATACTATGTTTACAATAGTTCCAATTACGTTCTGAAGAACCGAGATGAGTTGAAGTTACAATTGATTTTAACCAGTTGACTGGGATTGATGAGAAAAATTTAGGCAAAATGCCACTTACACCTAGATTCTCGCATATGACACATGTTATATTGCAATTATTTTATGTATGGAAGTTCATACGATGTCAGAGATGCAGCCTCTGTTGCCATTATTAATTTAATTATTTAATGTTTATGAAATTAGGGTCAAATTAATTTTTGTTTGCGAACTGCATAAACTGTTTGAACTTTATTGAACTTTGAATGCGATTCTGAAATTATCGTTGGCTACGCCTACTTTCATTAAAACTATTAATCATAGATAATAATAATAATCAATTTATCAAAAATTGCAGGAAATTATACAAGAAGAAAACTAGATCCCAAACACAATCGCACTTTTACTTTAATTTTAATTATTTACCAACTCCATAGGGGAGCCACTAATCGTATCTCGTAAATTTACCCCTAGGTTAAATTAGAGATAAGAGTTTTATTATTATATAATAGAGATAAGATAAAGCTGATTAATTTAAATAATTATAATATCAGTTCTTTAAAAAAAAGTGATAAATTCGAGCACACTCTGTTGAGTGCGGAAAACACTAAAACAAGGTAAAGCACATTTCTTCTGTATTTCCTCCCATAGGCCATCTACTTTTATTCTACACACAAAATTTTCCAAAATAAGATTAAACATATATTGTCCAAATCATAACTAACCTGGAAGTATTACTGATGTCATGTCAATTGAAAAATAAATGTCAACGGTCCTATATATACGAACGTTTCGAGTTCTGGATTTTTGCCAAAACACTAAAATAAGCTACACTAAATAAACTTGTTATGTTCTAAATTATAAATAAAATACGGTGACACAAAATATAAAAATTACATCAACTAATTGTTGAAGGATTTATAACTGTTCGAAAGATACTAGATGGAAATCGTGCTAATTATTGGAAAAGAATACTTTAAAAAATATTTTTTGCAAGATTTTGATGGAACTTTGTGTGACAATAGATTCGTAGTATGAAATAACATACTGAAATATTATAGACTTATTATAAGCAGCTAATTTACAGGAAAATTATACCGTTTTCTCCAATCAACAGAGGGTTTACTATGCTAACTATTAGGGTAAGTTATTGTAATCGTCCAAAAATCGAAATTGAAAATTTGTACATTTCTTCACATTTTGAAGGTCTTTGAACATTTTGGCATACCTCAGAAAAAATGGATGTGTGTATCTATGTTGGATAAAGATTTCTTCAAATTTGGATATAGACTTCTAATAAATAATCTTGAATATCACCAATCAAGCTATAGAAAATAGAGTGTGTAAAACAAATTTTGTTTATATTTCCAATAACTTGCTCCTTCAGAATATTATTCCTGATATTACACAACTAAATCCGCGCATTACTACCGAGATATAATAAAAAAAAAATCTAAAATTTTGTTCCGCATTCAAATTAAATTATTCTAATCTTAGTTTACTTCTAAAACACGTTTTATGAGTTTTTCAATCGGGCATTGATTTATTTTATTTATAAATCTTATATAGCTTTCTAGCAACTTTAATACCTTATATAAATATCATAAACGATAAGGAAATGTTAACGAGAAAAATGCATCCGTAAACCAGAAAAATAGAGTATATATATATATATATATATTTATATATATATATATAATAGTTTGGGAATTCTGGAATAATTTTTTATATGTATATAAGGTGTCCCAGAACTCAACGACAAGCCAAGAGAAAAAAATTAGTGCACGCGGGTTAAAAATTAGAAGTTTTTAAATTGACGTAGAGCTTTGGTCAAGTTTGTAGGTTTTCCTGAAATGCCCATAATTTGGTAGGCATATATTTTATTAATTTTCAAATTTTAACTGAATCGACATTTATAGCAGATGACAATTCAAATGTTTTCAATGTCAAACAATGGTAAGTGTTTTTTTTTGTAATTTTTGCCGTAACATTACTATAGTTTTATATTCGTTTAAATCCTAAAAAAGTCCCTTAACGTAGGGTAAATTAAAGTAATCGCAAAAAAAAATCGAAAATGAAAATTTTTATATATACTATTTACGTTTCAAAGGTTTCTGGACATTTTGGTATACCTTAGAAAAAATAAAAGTATGTGTATGTAACTTGTGCGGATACAAATTTTTGTGGACGATTTTGGGAACACTGATCAACCGATTTTAAAAATTCAAAAAACATTCGATTCGTATTGATAAGGAGACGTGCTGAATAGTTTTTGGCAAAGGCAGGTCTAGCCGTTTCGGAGATACAGGGCAAAAAGTGTCAAAAGCGGTAACTCATTTCCATTCGATTTTAATATTTCAAAAAACGTTTTACTTGTATTGATAAAATGAAGAACTGTTTAAATTTCGAAAGGCAGGTCTAGCGGTTTCAGAGATCCAGTTAAAAAAAGTATAAAAAATGCCATTTTGAGGTCAAAAATGATCATTAGGTATATGCACATCTAATTATCAGGTATTTTATAGAGATTTTAATAATGTGTATCAATTTTCTTTATATTTCTACGGGTTCCATAACGTCGTCTGTTCGCTAGACGACGAAGCGGCGCTTATGCGCTTCGATATTTCGTTTCTATGCAATCATAAAATGAGTAAAAAAATTGAATCTCAAGGACTTGATTTTCGCTAAGCCATTTTACGCAGGTCGAATATAAATTCAGGACAAAATTACCAATTTTAAATAAATATATATGGTGTCCCAGAACTCAACATACGGCGGACATTAGGTGACCTGGTGATTGATAACCATCATAAAAAAATCAATCATTAAACGAGTAAAAAAATTGAACCACAAGGACCTGATTTTTGCTAAGCCATTTTGCGATTCCTTCGAAAAATATTTGGAAATAAAAAAATCCAGAAATTAATTTTTTTTTAAATTCAAAATTTCTGAAAAATCTAATTTTCAAAGTTTAAAAAAAAATTAATCTTTATTAAAAAAATTAATTTTTGGTACGAAAACTTTCAGCAATTTGCCTTAAGGCATATGCCATACACCACTAATTTGTAATGGTTACACAATCAATCATCATTGCCACGTTGAATTCTGGGACACCCTCTGTAAAATTATTAAATAATAGGGTTCCATGTCTGGACGGAACAATCTTGTCACCACGTTGAATTCTGGGACATCCTCTGTAAAATTTAATTTTTGGTACGAAAACTTTCAGCAATTTTCCTTAAGGCACGATGCCATACACCACTAGTTTATAATGGTTACAATCAATCTTGTCACCGCGTTGAATTCTGGGACACACTCTGTAAAATTATAAAATAATAGGGTTCCATGTCTGGTACGGAACCCTCGATAATTTCATCAGCCCATACATCATAATTTAAACACGAGCATAATAATATACGCAAATTGCACATAGGACATTTAGATTAATAAAATCTTCATAACAGATGACCTCATGGGTCGAATGGACCCATGGACTGTGGTATTATCACACACTCAAATATATATATATATATATATATATATATATATACATATCTAGTAGTATATCCTGTGCTAGTAGATTAACTCATCAAAACAACACGACGAGGAAGTTTGGTATGAAAACAAAATAGTTGTAGTAGATATTCATAAGGAAGTGTCTATAGTATAAAAATAATACCAATTATCACTAAATTAAAATACTTTTGTTTAAATGAAAATTTCAAGCCACAGATAATTCCAATAAATTATGGCTTGTGTACAAAACTTCGCCATCCACCAAAAGTATTCGCACACAAAAACATGTTTTGACTTAAATTTATCACCGGTTCGTATTACATATCGGAATATTTAAATTAATTAATTTTTTATCTTATCTTTTATTATATAACAAAATTATCTACTACACTTACCCATAACAAAATGTTGAGCCAACAGAAGACACGTCTCACACAAGTGTATCCGCTTCTACCCATATCTAGAAAAGAAAAATTATTACTTGCAGTTGATAATTTATATAAATTCAGTGTTTTATTTTACCAAAATATTAAATATACAGTTTTATTCAAAAATTTATCTAGATTCAACTTGTCTAATATAAAAATCGTCTAACTCAATCCGGAAAAAAGTTTTTGGTACCAAAACTGAAAAAAAATGGAACAGCACCATTCTATTGTAATGGCTTAAGGAGTAATTTTCTTTCTCTCTTTGAGTTTGATAATTTATATAACTTCAGTGTTTTGGGCTACAAGAATACTAAATATGCAATTTTATACAAAATTTCATCTAGATTCCAATTATCTAATACAACAAATGTCTATTTTCACCCGGAACATAGTTTTTATAACAAGACTGAAAAAGTGCTACATTTCATCCCAACTATTCTATTGTAATGTTCCAAAGAGCAATATCTCCTTTTTTTTGGACTAAATACTACTAGCTAGCATAAATTTATTAAAAATAATATTTTTTAAAAATAATATAAAATAGCATAAATTTATTAATGTAATATTTTTAATTATTTTCCAGTTATCTTAATCGCCACGATAATATCAGAAATTTTTCACATTGGCCATGTTAACTTTATTGGATTATTTATCAAATCAAATATAAAATTTAAAATCGGTTCAGTAATTTAGGAATCTATTCCGGACAAACATCTGTATATAGATATATATGTGTGTGTGTGTGTGTGTGTGTGTGTGTGTGTGTGTGTGTGTGTTTCTAAAATGTGTACATATAGGTAATAAAAGAACAAAGCGTTGTTTTTGTTCGTACTTTCACTCTTTTGTGTAATATTTTTTTTATATTTGCACAATACTCATATATGAATATTTAATTAAATTTAAAATCACGCAAACGCAAAGAAATTATTAGACTGAAATAAACTCTTGAATAAGCGAATTAAAAAACGATTTAGATGATAATGAGGATGAACGAAACTTATTGTTAAACTAGGTGTGAACTAGCCTTCAGACAAGTTGCATGATAATAAATTGATAAACGATATTATTATTTTTAGTTTCCCTAAAACTAGCAATAAAGATACAATGAATTCTTATAAACTATTGATACTTGAAAGAGAGAAAAATAATTAGAATCGGAAAAAATATATAATTTAGAGTTCATTCCATGGAGAGAAGTAAAACTTTAAGGGTTTTTTATTTGAGTCTGACCAGCACTTTTTATAATCTTAATATTCAGATATATAGATAAATTTTTCAAGTGATTTTTTTCGCAATCTACATAAAACGTTCCTTACGCCTAGTTTAATTTCTCATATTAATTATATCAACTTTTTGGTAGTACCGAAAGTAGTTTTTTTCAGAAGCTTCAAATTTTATAGAAAAAATGTGGAGTCTTCCAGAACAAAAAAAAATCATACCGTATATATATTAGGGTGGTCCTTAACATGGACATTTTTAAAAATTTTTTTTAGAAAGTTATAGCTCTTAATATTTACTTTAAGATAGTCCGCTCTCGAACCAAAGTTTCTTGATTATTCTTTCTAAGTAAATACTTGTTTTATAGCATATATCATTTTTTTTGTAATTTTGTTATTTATGATCAAAATAAGGAAATACAATGGTGATCTCAATATTTTGATTTACTTGTCGCCAAGATATAAATTTTACTAAATCAATGGAACTTTACCTATGTTATTTCCATAGAAACTTTAGAGAGCGGACTATTTTAAAGTTAATATTAAGGTATAAAATTATCAGATTTTTTCTCATCATATGAGCCTCTGTGAGCAAAAAATAATCGAAATATCCATATAAAGGACCACCCTAATATATATATATATATATATATAAAATATTTATTATCTCTATTTTGAATTTATTATTTCATACTTTTTATTACAAAAATGATTAAGGATTTCTTAATATTTCTGATATAATTTAATTTTGAGATTAATATAATATATAACATATTTTAAACGATAGCAAAAATTGAACGTTGATATATATATATATATATATATATATATATATATATATATAGATATATATATATATTCTCTTATGGTAGAATATTTTTCACGGTGTTTGCATCTGTAAATTATTATTGTTCCATTTGTTACATAAAAGGCGAGGAAAGTTAAATTGTGTAAATTCAACAAGATAAGACCAATTATGAAATGTATGTGCATCGTATAGAAATAATTATTATTTGAAGCATCGTTCATTGTTGCCTCATCATCATTACGAATCGAGTGCTATGTCGATTCGAATTAATTAACTGTAAAATTAAATTGTTTACAGAACGCAAATTGTTATGAAAGACTATTGCCCAATTAATTGGAAATAGACTTAGAAATTAGATTAAAATTATAAAAGATAACTTATTAACTTCCTGTAGGGTAAGTTATTGTAATCGTCCAAAAATCGAAATTGAAAATGTTTGCATATCTTCACGTTTCAAAGGTTTCTGAACATTTTGGCATACCTCAGAAAAAATGGATGTGTGTGTGTGTATGTATGTATGGATACAATTTTTCAGTCACGTTTTCGGGCGCACAGATCAACCGATTTGAATGGTTTAAAAAACATTCGATTCCTATTAATAGGGAGATGTGCTGATTAGTTTTTGACAAAGGCAGGTCCCGCAGTTACGGAGATAAAGAGCAAAGAGTGCAGAAAATAGAAATCGAGTTTTTGAGAGAACGAAGTATCCGAATTGAATGATCTAAAAAGCATTCAATTTGTAATGATTAGGAGGAAAGATGATTAGTTTTTGACAAAGGCATGCCGAGCCATTTCGAAGATACAGAGCTAAATGTGCAAAAAATGGCAGTTTTTGAGAGAACTAAGCGTCCGATTTAAATGATTCAAAGAACTTTTTGCTTGTTTCAACAAAATAATTGATTTTGGGGAAAAAAAATTTTGTTTCAAATATTTTTTTTCAATTTTTTTTTCAAAAAAAATGTTTTTTGTATATTGAAAATAATTCAGATCTTATTTTTAGTTCAGACTAAAGTTCTAATATACTTTAAACAAATAATTTCAACTTTGCAATTCAGTTTATATAATTTTTATAAATATTAGACAATGTTACAATATTTATAATAATCTATTTGAAAACATTCAGTACTTCTCAAACATTTCGTTACGGTACGGGAAGTTCCAGCAATTTGCCTTAAGGCACGAAGCCATGCGCCCCACTACTTTAGTATGTGGATTAGTGGTTAGAGCTATGGAGTTCGAGTCAAGGTTCTCTTGCAAACATATTGTGAACTTCACCAATGTTACAATAATTGCAATCGTTACAATTTGTTTTGTAAACATCAGTAATACATTCATTGGGAGTTTTAGATTTGAAGAAAAGGGAATTAAGAGTATTGTCGAAATTAAAAATTAATAACAAAACTTTCATTCAATAATCACTTTTTTGAATATATATACATAACTTTACATAAAATAGAGTATAGGTCCAAATAAACCTGGCAAGACCTAACTTTCACCTGTTGCAGTACTTTGTGTCTAGTCTTCTCACAGTTGGTTTTCTCTCCATTATTTATGTTTCATGTACAAATATATATATATATATATATATATATATATATATATATAATCTCCGATTGAAAATGGAGAGAGTCACCGTACTATATTGAATGGAAGTGAGAAATTTGCATCTGGCATAAAATATATAAGAATTAGAGTCGCACGATAATCAAGTGTCGACGAAGTCGAAGTTTTCTAATAATAACCATAATGACATTTCATACGACTCAATAATCTCATTAGATACGTTTCATTAACAAGTTAAAGAGAAATCCGATGCTAAATAGATGGGTAATAAACTTTTACTGCAGATTGGGTAAAGAACCTTCGGACACTTTTATAATATTAATCAGTTTGGAAAGTAATTGCTTCTATAGGACGATTTATTTATTTGCAATTTTACACTTAAGTCGCATAAAAAATAATTTATTTTGAAAGCTGGGAAAGTCCAATTTGTTGTATACTAAAAATATTTCAAAAAAAAATATTTATTTGGTTATGTGATAACCTTTTTTCTGGATAGAGTTAGACATTTTTTGCATTAGACAAATCGAATCTAGATAAAATTTTGTATAGAACTGTATATTGAGTATTTTTGTCGTCTAAAACACTGATTTTATAGAAATTCTCAAACCCTAAGAATGATTGAAATTATGATTCAAAGCATTATTGCACTAGAATAATTATAATGTATTTTTTCAGTCTTGTTATAAACAACTTTTTTGCGGATAGAGATAGACATTTATTGGATGAGACAAATCGAATTTAGATAAAATTTTGCATGAAACTGTATTTTTATCATTTTTTTTAGGATAAAACACTGATTTTACACAAATTATCAAACCCGAAGAAATTTCCTCTTTACGATGGTTAAGTGAGATGAAATGGTGCATTTTTTCAGTTTTGTTCTAAAAACTTTTTTCTGGATTTCGATAGACATTTATTGCATTAGACAAATCGAATCTAGATAAAATTTTGAATAAAACTGTATTTTCATCATTTTTTTAGGATGAAACATTGATTTTATATAAATTTTTTTATTTTAGTAGTAGCATTTTATAAATCCATGCTATAAGACTACAAAACTAAAAAAGAACTAAATAAAAATCTTCGATATTTCTTTACATCAGTATGAAAACTTTTTTTTTTAATTGAATTTTTTGTTAAAGTAAATCTAACTAATAATTTAGCGATATATATATATATATATATATATATATACTCGTATATATATATACCTTTTTTCCAAAAAAAATTTTCTTTTCTAATACGTTATAAGTTTAGTTTTTTAAAATATTTTTTTTGTGTGGTTTTGTCCTGTGGTATGTATAATGTTTCTCTATGTTTATAATTAATCTATATTGGTTTTTAATTATTAGTAAAAAAACGACACGCATCTGGTGTCGAAACGTATAAATAAAAGTTTTTAATACTTTTTACCTATTTTATTTCGACGAATGGGCTGCTAGTT